GATCCCCCTAAAAATGGGAAAAAGAAAAAAGCCGAAATAGTTTCTGTTTTAATGAGACTCCCAAATTGGTTGGGTGAAGTTGACTGCAGCCATTCAAGCTGCCTTTGAAAATGCACCTCATAGTTACAAGCAACAGACAAGGTGCCCAATGTTGTTACGTAAGCTGTGGCCCTCATTGAAAGACCTTTCTTGTGACCTAAAAAGGCTGTCTACTCTTCCTTCTGGTGTCACTGAGTGACCTCATTTCTAGCCTGTGGAGCAGTCAAAAAAAATTGACCTCATTTCCCTGATGGAACTGCACACTTTTCATCTAAGGTTCTTCCCAAGATTTATCATTTTAGGAGGTTTCATCTTCTACTTAGATACAAATTATTGTCCCCTTTCCTCAAAGGTGGGAATAGTTCTCTTTCCACTTCATGGAAATTAGTAGTTTAGGTAATTAAATATTTTAAAGATGTACAGTGAACAGCTTTCCCTATTGTTTCTCTGAGCTCTGCCTGGACTTTGTCTTTCAATTCTGATTCTAAGACTCTTGTCAGAGGTAAAATTGACTCCAGACTTCCTTTAAGAAAGGGTTGGAAGAAGTGACCGCCATGCACATGAAGAATGGAGCTGCTTCTGAATAGAAGCAGAAATCAGAAAAGTGAACCACTTCTGAAGAACTTGGAACAGAAGGGCAAGAATGAACGGGTTTAAACATGATTGAAACAGCCTTGGCAGGCGGATGTAACAAAAAAGGCCGGATAACAATTGATCAAATCCTATTTGGAGGAATAATAGAATCTTGGGAAGAATCTCCCTAAATGCCACCTAAAGATGCCAAACTTACCTGAATGAAGAGAAGTATATCTTCTCACTTAGTTTGACTGGACAAGCTAAGAGATCAGCCTATGTGGGAGCCTTGTGTTTTCCTAAATGAGGTGAGCACAATATTCCTTCAAATTAAGTAGCCTCAATTCTCAGTGGAAGTACTTAGACTGAGTCTTTCCTCTGATGATCTGAAAGTGGAACATCAGTAATTACAGAATACAGGAAGGAGAAAAATTACCAAAAATCATTCCTTGAAGCTTCCTGAGCTCTCTAGGTAAACAATAATCTTCCTGCTTGAGGGCCCTTAGAAGTTCAGCTGCAATCATCAAGACCTTTTCTGTAAAAAAAAAAAACTAAACCGGTGGCATGTAGAGTTCATAATACTCATTTCTTTAGAATTTATATAAATTTATATATTATATTTTTTTATTAAAATGTAATTATTTTACAGAAAAATATGAACAGAAAGAAAAACAAAAAAGAAATAAAAGAAAATAACAAAAGAATCAATAACAAACTGAGGAGAAAAAAGAGGGGAAAATGGATTGTTATACTAAGAAACCTGCTAGTCAGTTCTAGAGTGAATGATAACCTAATCTGAAACCCTGGTTCTAAACCGAAATGGATTCAAATAAAAGCTAACTAAAGTGAATCAATCAATCAAATCTTTATTATGGAATCCAGATAATTGAAATACAAGTCTTGCTCAGTCTTTTGGCCATCTATTCTAAACTCCAGGAGTGGCTCTTGGCCCTTTTGACAAATATCATGATTTTAGTTTTCTGGTAATTGAGAACTAGCTAGTGTTTCCTGCAATGTTCTGCTAATGCTTTCAATGCTCTTTTAAGGGGGCATGATGGCTCAGACTCTGAGTTTGTCAGCTGGAAAGTTGACAGTCTGGGTTTGAGACCTGAGCGCCATGCAATGGGGCGAGCTCCAGTGGTGAGTTGCCCCCAGTTCGGACCAGTTCGCAAGAACCGGTAGTAAAACCGGCGGGAGGCCACGCCCACTGCCCCGGATGTTATCATTGCCGATCTGCGCATGTGCAGAAGCAAGGTGCGATCCCATTGCGAACCAGTAGTAAAGGTAAGTAGAAGCCACCCCTGGTGAGCTCCCGTTGCTTGCCCCAACTCCTGCCCACCTCACAATTTGAAAGCGTGCAAATGCGAGCAGATAAATGGTTTGGTGGAAAGGTCACAAAGTTTCGTGAGCCTCAGGGTATAGTCATGTGGCTACATGACCAAGAAATGTTTTTGGACAATGCTAGCTTCCTCAGATAAGAAAGGGAGATGAGCACTGCCCCCTAGAGTTGGATGCAACTGTACAGGGAAAACCTTTACTTTTTACCTTCTAAAGTCTATGAAAACGACATATAAGGAGGTTGTGTTGTGGAAGGAATGTTTTTCAATGAGATGATAGACTACAAACACTCATTAATAGTAGATCAGCCTTCTCTAAAGCCAGCCTGCTCCTCTGCAAATATGTTTGCTTATTCCAGCCAATCGTGGAATTTCCATTGTGTCTTGCATAGAGTTTGGCTAAAGTGGATAATAACAGAATCAGAGAATCAAATCAAACAATCAAAGGGTCAAACCTCCTCTTCTAGTTAAGTCCCTGGAACTCTAGGCTTCCTTATATTTTGGAGATAAACTCCAATTTGTGCATTAATTTTTGTGTATTTCTAAAAACCTTAAATGGAAGAAAAACAAGCCTTGCTTCTATCACTTTGTTTTTTTAAATAGTTTTATTTTTATAGTTTTCATACTCATTCCCTTGAATGTCAAAAAAAATTAACTTTCACAACTTTCTACCTAAAAGTTAGAGGGACATATTTTGATAGTCCCCACCCCACCCCCAGGAATCAGGTAGGTAAGTAGGTAGGTAGGTAGATAAGTAGGTAGGTATAAATACATAAACCTTTCAGAGATTTGGAACATTGAATTGCAAAATACAAATATTCACACACATAAACATTTTGAAGCTGTCTCTGTATCTGATTTTATTTCCCCACTAGCACACTTTGGTTAAATTTGACACAATTTAAATGCTAAGACAAATGCTCTCACACATCCCCTCCAACTCAAGAGCAAACAATGCTACCCCTTAACCATATGTCTAGATATGTCCTGATTCTAGGCATGGCCTGAAGTCTGTCACATATCAGCCAGTAAAGTGGTGGGAGTGAGGATGATGATATCTCGAGGCATATCTGGGCATCAACTGCATGTGATATCAGCTGTGAGGGTCAGATTTAGGAAGTTAAGTATTTGTTATTCACACACAGCCTGGGAAAAAAAAATCACAATCTTGACCATAAAGGTTTTGTTTTATAAGCCAGGGAGGAGGTATGAAATTGGTTAATTTTTGTACAAGAGTCCCCAAAAAGAAAAACTGTTGTTTGTATTGTTATACACCAAACATTGGTATGGGTAGTCCTTAGGGTTTTATGAAGATATTATTGGATATTATTATATATGGCTCTGTGGAAGAGGCTCTGCAGTCCCAGTTGGGAAGCACAAAGTATTGGGGCACTGGAAGTCCATTGTTGCAGTAATTGTGAAGTCCATTGTTGCAGTAATTGTGGACATTATTCTAATGATGTTGCTCAGGGGTTTCCATCAGTTTTATTGTCACCTGTCTTCAAAGCCAGTGGAGCCTTCATAGCACAGGGCTTGGCAGCAGGTTCTGTCAGCAGCCAGAACTTCTAGTTCCTTTGGCTGGATGTCAAGAGACATAGGGTTGACTTCATAGTGTCTTTGTAGTGCTAGTGTGGATGATCTTGAGGTCTCTTCCCAGTCTTTAGTACAGCATTCAGCAACAATATAGTGGCCATCCATTCTTAAAATATGCCCCCCCTCCCAAATTGGACTCTGATTATCAAAGACTTGACGCTGTTGGATTTTACATGTTCCAAGACTCTCAGGCTGGAGACACAGTAGCCACAGTAGCCAAGTAGCAAACCAGTGCCAAGGATGGAGCAGAGGGAGCGCATGTGAAATTTCTCCAGATCTTTAATGCGTCATTGGTGCAGAGTCCCGGACTCACATCCACGCCACATGGATTTAAGTATATATTTGAGAGTGTCCCAAAGTTTCTTTTTCATGAGGCAACTGGACTTTCTGTTTTTTCTTTGAAGATGTTTCACTTGTCATCCAAGAAACAAAACATCTTCAGAGAAAAATCTGAAAGTCAAGTTGCTTCGTGAAAAAGCACTTTTGGGACAACCATGACTTGGATGACTGAGAATCTCCATAGATATCTTTGAGAGTGGAATCTAAGCTGTTACAAGATGCAAAAGAAAGAGAAGGATTGGGTTTACCTGATTTGAGATTATGTTTGCAGGTTGTGGTTTAATTTGGATGAAGGAATGAATGTTGCTGAGAAATAGAAAGCTTTTATAATTAGAAGGAAATGACTTGAGATTGGTCTTCTGGGTGCGCTTCAAGGTTTTGGTTACCACCTTTAAAGTGCTCCATGGCTCAGGACCTGGGTACTTGCGGGACCGCCTACTACCACCAACAGCCTCCCACCGGCCCGTACGGTCTCATAGAGAGGGGCTCCTCCGGGTGCCGTCGGCCAAACAATGTTGACTGGCGGCCCCCAGAGGGAGAACCTTCTCTGTGGGGGCACCTACTATCTGGAACGAGCTCCCCCCAGAGATACGGAGGATCCCGGATCTGCGCACCTTCCGCCATGCTCTAAAGACCTTTTTATTTCACCAGGCGGCCTGGCCTAACTTTCTCCCTCTTTTTAAACAATTTTAATATTTTAATATTAATATTTAATATTTTTAATCCTCAAAGTTTAAATTGTTTTAAATTGATTGGGGTTTTAATCTGTCTGGGCCAAACTATTTAATTCGATTTTATTTCTGCTTTTTAAATTTTGTATGTATGTATTTTATTGTTGGCTGTTCACCACCCTGAGTCCTTCGGGAGTAGGGCGGTATACAAATCAAATAAAAGTAAAGTAAAGTAAAGATTTGGGTGGGATAGATACTTATGGTATGATAAAGCCAATATTAATGCATATTTTGAAAATCATTTTGTTAGATGTGCTATTAGGAGAATTTGGAATGGATATAACCCTCCAACCGAGCAGGGCCTAAACATATTTAGTGACTCACATTGCCAAAATAGTAGCAATAACATCAACAATAACACAAAGCAAATTGAAAACTGCTAAAACAATTTAAAAGTTTGTAATAAAAAGTTCATGCTGCCAAGTTAGAAGGTTGGGAAGGTACACATATGGGATACAATGGCTGATTAAGAAACATTTGCATGGGGATTTTAAGCATGGGGATGATCGCTAATCTTTAATGACTTTCTCCACTTTCTCTTACCAAGGAAGGAAGTGAGGGAAGGAGGAAAGAAGGAAAGTGGCTGGATGGCTGGCAGACATTGGAACCTAGAGGTTATTTTCCTCCTCTGCAATCTACCCTAAAGAAGGAGTTTGCCATTCATTTGGGAGCTGTGAATCTCTCCAAGACTTTCTGGAAGGCTGCCTTCACATCTTTGTTGCGTAAGCTGTAAATCAACGGGTTGACCAGAGGGTTGATTACAGTATAAAACAGTGCATTTATCTTGTCCCAATCTGCTGTGTGATGAGAGTTGGGTGAGGAGTATGTAATGAGCATGGTGCCATAGTAGAGGGAGACAGAGACCAGGTGAGCTGAGCAAGTGGAGAAAGCTTTGCGTCTCCCTGCAGTTGAACGGATGCGAATAATGGCTGCCACAATACCAATGTAGGACTTCACAATGACAGCAGTGGCTGAAAGCAAAGTGAGGCCAATGACAGCAGTCAGGATGAGTTCATATACTCTTTTGTCGTCACAGGCCATCTTCATAAGTGGTGGCACATCACAAAAGAAGTGATTGATGATATTACTACCACAGAAGTGTAGGCGGAAGGTATTACCAGTGTGTACAATAGCATTGACAAACCCCACTATATAGGCTCCCATCACCAGCTGGACACAAAGCTTCTTGGGCATTGCAATGGCATAAAGGAGTGGGTTACAGATGGCCACAAAGCGATCATAGGCCATGAAAGCCAGTAAGAAGCATTCACTCCCACCAACTACATTAGAGAAGAAGAACTGGGTTGCACAACCTGCTAAGGAAATGTGGTTGTCCTTGGATAAACAATCATATAAGATCCGAGGAGTGTAGACTGAGGAGTACCAGACATCCAGGAAGGAAAGGCTTCCCACAAAGAAGTACATGGGTGTGTGCAAGCGGGAGTCTAGGTAGATCAGGGTTATGAGGCCCAGATTCCCAGTCAGTGTTAGGGTGTATGTGGCCAAGAACATCACAAAGAGAATTGTGCGTAGAAATGGGTCTGGTGTAAACCCAACCATCACAAAATCAGTAACCAATGTGCGATTGTCTTCAAGTTCCATTTTTTTCCAAGCATAACCTATTTAGAGAGGAAAAACAAGTAAGGGTTTTGCGTTTTTGTGCCCTGAATAATGAATTCATGCTATGATTTTGAAGGATGTTTTGTAAACAATTTATGACATTTGGTATGCTGTTGCTAATTTTGCCCCAGGCTGATTTGGCTTCTGGTTTTTGACATTCTGTAAACTTTTACAAAGTGTAGGATTTACGTGAAAATAATGTTATCTCCTCTTTGCATTAGGTACACTTGACCCCATGTGTTTTGCAAATGCTTTTCTATGATAGGTCTCAGCATATATAACAAACAAATAAACAAAGAAATATTGTGAGTCAGCAGGCATATGAGTTTAAATAACAACAATAATTTCTGGAAAACTGCAAGAGAAGGAAGACCAACTTCAATGTAGCATTGATTGATTACCAGAAAATATTTGACTCCCCATCATATGATTGGATAATCAAATTCCTAGAAATATGATTACAACAATGATTGATTACAAAGTAGCAACAGTGGTGCATTGAAAGATCTAAAAGAAATATAAATTTGCCTGCAGACAAAAACTGGTAGTACCATAAAATAGTGACAGTAATAGAAAACGAAAAAGCTAAAGTGCTCTAGGACTTTAGAATCCAAACTGACAGGCAGGCACATGCCACATAACTCCCCAGACTCCACAGTTTCGATAAGAAAGACAAAACATTTGGATAGTAGACATGGCAGCACCTGAAGATCGTAGAATAGAAGAGAAAGAATTAGAGAAGATAACAAAATACGAAGACCTGCAAATAGAAATAGAACGACTGTGGCAAAAGAAAGCAAAGGCACCTTGGTTGCAATCCCAAAACAGCTGGAGCTCAACTTGAATGCCACTGGCATTGAGAAAATCAACAGTTGTTAACTGCAAAAGGCAGCTTTCCTAGGAAGAGCTCACATCCTGTGACAATAACTTTAACATTGTCAAACGTCCACATCTGCTTCTCCCAGGTCCTTGGGAAGGACTCGCTCTGTGGGGGGGGATGGCTAATCCAGTCTGAACATCTGGATGACTGTGCAAGAGACCATAATTAATTATTAAAGATAATATTATTAAATAGTAACTACTGCCAAAATTCTTCATTAGAAATTTGGCCAGAGGTTTGGATTTGAATGTACTGAGTAAAAACTATTAGAACCATAAAATTGAAAAGGTTTTGGGAAAACATCTTTAAGATCTGAACAGACAGACATTTGGATCATGACATGCCTAATATAATAGTTATTGAAAAAAATAGTTATTGAAAAGTTTGGTTCATTGATGTGACTTGATCAGGTGATGCTAGGATGGAGGAGAAACAACTGGAAAGATTAAAATTGAATGCCTGTGGAAAAAGAAAGTTGTTGTTATATCAGTCATGATTGGAGCCCTTCAACCAATACATAAAGGATTCCCTCAATATCTGGAAATATTAAATTGGGGGTGGTGGAAACCTGAATATCCTAATTTTTCAAAAGCCACCTTGCTAGGAACTGCTGATATTGTTAAATGCTACTTGGTTAGCTCTTGGTTAGGACTTGAATCTAACTGTACATTAGCCAAAGAGAAGGATTGCATAAGGGGACTGTAATAGGATGTTTGCCTCAGTGCCTGGATGCCCAACTCTGCTAAGGAAAAGCTTCTCTTAGTGAAGCAGTTCTAACCATCTCTGTGTGAAGAGCTCAGGTGGCTGAAACAGACAAATAATCCTGATCGGGGAATGGCCCAAGTTGGAGAAAGGAGAGAATCAATTAAGGCCATGAAAATGAGAGGAGCAATTTGGACTGCAAAGTCCCTGTTCTGCATCCTGAGATGGAGGGCTTCCACCATTTCTGTGCTTAAGAGACATATCGCTGCCTTCTGCCTTCTGTGTTATAAAATCACTTTTAAATCAATACAGTAAACCATCCCAATATTGTTAAAGGCTTAATTTTGAAGGAGCGACAAATGGGTCAAAAAAAAAATTTGAAAGACTGAGAGTTTATAACAAAGTAATATGTTCTATCCCAAATTAAGACAATCAAAACCATCCTAGTAGGTTGAATAGGACTAAGATGGAGAAGAAAGTCTCTTGATTATTTGTACAATGGTAAAAGTAACAACAAAACCTAGATGCACTCTTGCTGTAACAGTGTATAGCCAAGATGGTTGGGAGGGGAGGCATGAAAGAGTTTGGACTGACAAGATGAAGCCACTGTCATGTGTTTGGGGGAACCCTGGATTTGATATGGCCTCCCACTGATAAAATATGACTAAAGAAAGGGACGTGGTCAGGTCCAATAGCCTAGTTTTACAGCAGTGGATATATTCTCAGTCTGTAAAAAAAACCCAGAGTGGAGAGAATCATATCTATTAATTTGATCTAATTTGATCTAAACAATAACTATATCAACATCTCACACAAGGCAGGTAAACTGCAGATCTTATTTCTTCTATCTTCTCTGAAGCTTTCCTTAGTCATACAATCCTTGGGTTTCCACAGCCCTGTGGCTACAACTTGGTTTCACTGACATGAACAACCAAACAACAGAATAACAGAGTTGGAAGGTACCTTGAAGGTCTTCTAGTCCAACCCTCTGCTCAAGTAGAAAACCCTATACCATTTATTTATTTATTATTTATTTATTTATTTATTTATTTGATTTATATGCCGCCCTTCTCCCGAGACTCAGGGCGGCTTACAATGCTTTTAAACAATAGCCTTCATACTTTTGTATATACCTGCTTAGTAGGGCTTTTGGCCCCCCCAAGCGGTGTTCTATTTTATACAAAGTCAGCTTATTGCCCCCACAAACTGGGTCCTCATTTTACCTACCTCGGAAGGATGGAAGGCTGAGTCAACCTTGAACCTATTTCAGACAAATAGTTGTCCAATCTCTTCTTAAAAACCTCCAGTGTTGGAGCATCTATACGTTCTGAAGCCAAGTTGTTCCACTGATTAATTGTTCTAACTGTCAAGGAATTCCTCCTTAGCTCTAGGTTGCTTCACTCCTTGATTAATCTCCACCTGTTGCTTCTTGCCCTGCTTCAGGTGCTTTGGAGAATAGGTTGAAACCCCCCCCCAGTTCTTTGTGACAGCCCCTCAATTACTGGAACACTGCTATCATGTCACCCCTAGTCCATGCACTGCTCTTTGAATAAATTGTTCTTTTTTATTATCCTCAACATGTATATTGGAGGGCAGCTTCTCTTTCCAAATTTCACCAGTAAAACCAGACACGTTCCGTCTAAAAAAAACCCAAACAGGATCCCCCCAAAACGTGACAAAAAGAAAAAAGCAGAAAGATTTTCTGTTTTGATGAAAATTCCAAATTGAATGCCTGTAAGTGGCTGCTCCACTCTGACTGCCATTCAGGTTACCCTCGAAAGCCCATTTCTTAAATACAAGCCATAAACAAAGGAGGCTGCCCAGTGCTATTGTGTAAGCTGTGTGCCTCACTGAAAGACCTTTCTTGTCCACTCCTCTCCCTGGTTTCACTGAGTGATTTCATTTCCAGCCAGGGGAGCAGCAGAAATGATCTGTCGTTCTCATTCCCCTTATGCACCTGGAAACCTCCATTCACCAAGGTTCTTCCTGACGCTCATCTGATCAGGGGGTTCCATGTTCTGCTGAGATCCAAATCCAATAGTAATGTCTCCTTTTTGCAGAAGTGTGCACAGCTCTCTTTCCACTTCATAGAAGTCTTTAGGTAATTAAACATCTCAAATATTTGCTGTGAACAGCTTTTCCTGTCCTTTCTCAGATCTGGACTTGTCCCATTCTAAAGTTGTTGTCAGAGGCAGGATTGACTCTAGCTTTTCTTTAAGAAAGAGTTGGAAGAAATGACCGCCATGCACATGATGCATGGAGCTGCTTCTGGATGGAAGCAGAAATTGGAAAAGTGGATCATTTCTGAACAACTTGGAACATCTATTCACAGAAGGGCAAGAATCAATGGCTTTGAACATGGCTGTAACAGTCTTTGCATTCAGATATGACAGAAAAGACCAGATAAAACAATTGATTACGTCCTACCAGAAGGAATAATAGAATCTTGGGGGAATCTCCCTAAACAGCATCTAAAGATGTCAAACTTACCTGAACGAAGCGAAGTATATCTTCCCACTTAGTCTGACTTGATAAATTGACAGATCAGCCTGTATGGGAGCCTTGTGTTTTCCTAAATGCAATATTCTTTCAAATTAAGCACAATATTCTTTCAAATTCAAAAGCCTCAGTGCCCTGTGGAAGTATTTAAGATTGTGTCTTTCTTCTGATGATCTGAAGATGGAACATCAGTATCATGCCTAAAGTTTTTTCTTAATTCCTCCAAAGGGAGTTTCGTCTAAAGATAGAGGAAGGAGAAAAATCACCATTCCCTGAGGCTACCTGAGTTTTCCAGGGAAACAAACTTCTTCCACGTTGAGAATCCTTAGAAGTTCAACTTCATCATCACTTGTCTCAGGGCCTTTTCTGTAAAAAAAATTAATAATGGTGGAGTGTAGACTTCATAATAGTCATCTCTTTAAAATTATTATAATTATTTACAGAAAAATACAAAGATACAGAGAGCGAGAGAAATGAAAGAAAACAAAAAAACAATAACAAACTGAAAAGTGTATGTGTGTGTGTCGGGGGGGGGGGGAATTAGTGTACACAGAAACTTGCCAATCAATCTTAGAGTGAATGATTAACCTAATCTGAAACTGTGGTTCAAAACCTATAAGGATTCAGATCAAAACTAACTAAAACGAATGAATCAATCAAATCTTTATTACAGTCGTATCCCTATGAGTTTTTCTAATGCTAGCAGAGTAAACGACAACTTTCAGATACTTGAAACAGGAGACCTGCTCAGTCTTCTGCCCATCTAAACTCCAGGAATGGCTCTTGGGCCTTTTGGCAAATGCCATGATTCTGATTTTCTGATAATTGTGTACTAGATAATGTTCCCTGCAATATTCTGCTAGTACTTTCAATGCTCTTTTAAAGCCCATAGTTATTCTTG